GGAGGGGGGAGTTTCCCAGGCCCTTTTGTTTTAAACCCCTTTGCCCCTCGCGCTTTCCGTCACAGGTGGGGTATGGGGTGCCCCCAATAAACTAAACCACTTCGGGGGCAAAATCTTTAAAAAACCCATCTGCAAGGGGTGGTGCCCCAACCCGGGGGTTTAAAAGCAAGGGAAAAAGAGGAAAAAAGGGAACAAAAAAAATAAGTAAATAAATAAGGAACCCAAAAACACAGGGCAGAAGAAAGACAACCCCAAAGGAAAAAAAAAGGGAAAAAAGGAAAAAAGGGGAAAAAGGGAGAAAGAGGAAGGTCTGGGCTAAGTTTTGGCCCGCCCCGAGTGATTTTCCCCTTTGGAAAATTTCCTTTTAAAGGGAAAATTTCCGCCCCAGATGGTTAAAAATCCCCAAAAAAAAAAGGGATCCAGGTTTAAAGTTAAACCCCAAGCAGTCAAAGTGACAGGTTCAGTTTTGATCAGGTTGAGAGGTTAAGGGAAAAATCTTGGTCTTCTGGTTTGATTGTGTCAGTTTACTGTAGCTTTTAGTTCGTTTATACGGGAAAAGGGGCATTTTTTCTTTCTTTAGCTTATAAAAAACGCATAAGTATTCAACAATGCTTTTTAATTTGAGAAAATTTCGAAGTCATTTCGTTCTATATTTAATCTTGAATTTTAATTAATGAAATTTATTGGTTTTCAGACCTTGTACTTGGTCACTCAACGACCTTTTTTAATTTAGTATGATCGAATTGGGCCCCGGGTCACGGTACAATACCTTGCTCTGCTGGGTTTGGGGATTTTTTGTGGGGTGTATGGTCCCCTGGGTTTTGAGCGTCAAGGGGAAATTTTTGTTTTTACCATGAAACCCGGGGTAAAACAACATGGTTCGAATCCCGGCTAGTCGCAGTTGGGTTTTTGTGGGGAAAAAAATTCAACGATAAGGAAATTGCGAGCGAGGATATGGCGGGCGATATTTTATTGTTGGTTGCATTTTAAGGTAGTGTTAGGAAATCTTTGGGTCCCCCTAAACCCTCCCTCCTTTTTTCCCCCCGGAAAGGTCAGTGTTTGGGGGTCAAAATCCAAATTAAACACTTGATCCAGCTCCCCTCCCCAAAATAAGGGAAAAAACCTCATTCCCGTTTTTTTTAAAAGGATATTTTTGGTTAATAAAAGTTAAAATTTTAAAATATTGTGGAGCTATGTTCATCCTGCCTTGAATTTTATTTCTTAAAACCTTTACCCGTCTTTTACTCCTTTGCATTTTTAGGGGGAGCGTTTTTATCAAACAGTGGTTAGGGTTTTGTCTCTCTCTCTAGCTTTTGGTTTCCAGCTTGGGTCATTGGGGAACCACAGAGTACTTTAAAGGGGCGAATTCACTTGAGTTCTGGGGACGTCCCCTTTCCCAAACTCGTACATGATTTGGGGTTTGCCCAAACCCCCGGCAAACCCTCATTCTGCCGTGGTTTAAAGGGCCCCGCATTTCCCATCTTTTTGACAGAAACATTCAAGGCTAGACCCCACTGTGGCAGGGAAAATTCTTGGTTGTCACTCAACAGCTGTGACCCCCCATCCCCCCCATCAGCGCGGGGTTCAATTTTTTACAAGGGGCGGTTTTGTTGGACAACATCAACCGACCCCCAGTCTAAATGTTTCATAATTTGGGGTGAATTCAAATATTTTTATTTTTTTCATTTTTTATTTCTCTTTAAGTAGGATAAAAGTTCATATTTTAAATGTTACATATTTTCATTTCTAACTATAAAGTGTTTTATTGGTTGTTATTGTTCTTTTTTATTCAATTTAAATTTTTTTGAAGGGAGGGCCAGGGTTGGTTTTGTACTTTAAAATTTTTTCCGGGGCTGGGGTAAGGGCTTCCCTAGTTGTTTTCTGAAAAACCCATTTTAAAATATATATATTTATTTTTATATAAAATTATATATATATATATTTATATTTATAATATATATATATTTATAATTAAAAAAAATTTATATACATATAATATATACATATATATTATATATATATTTATATATAAAATATAAAATTTTTTATATATTATATATTTTTATATATGTTTAAAAGGGGTTTGGGTTTTCTGCAAAAACCCCCAGGGGGGTAATACCGTTTTTTTCCAAGTGGTGTTTAAAAAGGGAAAACCTGTGATTGTTTTTCTGATGGTTAGAAATTTCTGGTGTTTTTGTTTGTCTCTTAATTTTGCAAGATTTTTAGGTTTGTCTTGCTTCTTTTTACTTATACTTAGGTCCCCCCTACAAAATAACATTTTCAAGCCCCTTTATTTTTTATATATATATATATATATATATATTTTATTTATATAATATTTATTAAAATATATGTATTTTTATATATTATATAATTTTTATAAAATATATTTTTATATAAAATATATTTTATAAATACACACCCCTCTGGGTTTTCTATTTTCTTTCTGGGTCTTGTTCTTGTTTATTTCCTCTTATCTCCATGGGGAAGTAGAACAGAATTCTTCCTCTGTAAACCATGCGTGTTGTAAGAGGCGACTAAAATGCGGGAGCAAGGGGCTAGTAACCCCTTCTCCTGTATATATTACATAAATTTAAAAGGCGAAACTTTCGTTTTTCCTTTTGGGCCACCCTGCCTCGGTGGGATACTGCTGGTGCGTTGAATATATATATATATATTATAATATATTATATATATTATATATATATATATATATATATATATATATTATATATAGCGAGAGAGAGGAGAGAGAGAGAAGAGAGAGAGAGAGAGAGAGAGAGAGAGAGAGAGAGGAGAGAGAGAGAGAGAGAGAGAGAGGAGGAGAGAGAGAGAGAGAGAGAGAGAAAGAGAGATAGAGAAAGAGAGAGATAGAGAAAGAGAGAGAGAGAGATACTGACTGTTAGTGAAAATACTGTTATTAGTGTCAAAAACTGTTACAAGTGTCAGTACTGAGGGTTACTAGTGCCAGTACTTTCTGTGGTGTCAGTACCGATACACTGGTGTTACTGCCGACTGTTCATTTTGCCAAGGCTGAATGTTGCTAGTGCTAATACTGTTACTATTGAATGTTAGTAGTGTCAGTACTGACGGTTACTAGTACCAATACTGATGCGGATTGTTATTAGAACCCTTAATGACTCTTACTAGTGTCAGAAGTGACTATTATTAGTACAATTAGTGGTGCCAATAATGGCTTTTACTAGTGTCGATGCTAACTGTTACCAGTGTCAGTAATGACACCGGTAACAGTTAGTATATGACTACCAGTATTGTGATTATTGACTGGTAATATTGAATGGAGAAAGTTTTGACTGTTACTGGAGTCAGTACTGACTGTCGGAACCAGTAATAATCAGTATTGACTCTAATTAGTCAATACTGATTGTTGGAAGTAGCAACTCATCGTTGGTAATGTCAATGATGATTGTTCGAAGTAGCAACTCATCGCTGCTAGTGTCAATGATGATTGTTGGAAGAAATAACTGACTTTTATTAGCGTTTATACTGACTGCTGGGAGCAGTAATTGACTGCTATGAGTGTCAATACTGACAGTTGCAAGCAATAATTGACTGTTATTAGTCAGTTTCTACATCCAACAGCAGCAATGACACTAATAACAGTCAATTATTGCTTGCAACAGTCAGTATTTATACTCGCTTTTCGAAGCAGTAACTGACTTACTGGTGTCATTACTGACTGCTTGAAGAAGTAACTGACTGTTACTACTGTTAACACAGACTGCTGGAAACAGTCAAATTTACTAAAGAAAAAAATATTGCAAAACGCTAGTAAAACATTACCTGACAGATACAATAGATTATTCCCTAAAATTTGTTGGGTGAGACATTAACTTTAGGAATTAACATGCATGATACTAGGGGTTGCAATTAATGACGGTTAACAAAACAGAGTAGTAAATATAACAGAAGTACTGCCTGATTACATTAGTAATGTAGCTATTTTTGCTAGCTAGCAAACACTGGTAGCATTCATTTGTTTAAGCGGCAATTCTTGTTAATACAGGGTTGAGCAGTAAATAATAATAATTACTATTGAAAACTGAAAATTATAATTCTACTGAATAGCACAAACAACATATTATAGTGATTGATAACTGAAGGATTAACTAACTGGTGTTGATACAAACTGGTGGAAATATTGACTAGTGTAAGCAGAAACTGCTGGCAGCAGTAACTGGTGTAGATACAAACTGGTGGAAATATTGACTAGTGTAAGCAGAAACTGCAGGCAGCAGTAACTGGTGTAGATACAAACTGGTGGTAATATTGACTGGTGTAAGCAGAAACTGCAGGCAGCAGTAACTGGTGTAGATACAAACTGGTGGTAATATTGACTGGTGTAAGCAGAAACTGCTGGCAGCAGTAACTGGTGTTGATACAAACTGGTGGAAATATTGACTAGTGTAAGAAGAAACTGCAGGCAGCAGTAACTGGTGTAGATACAAAACTGGTTGGTAATATTGACTAGTGTAAGCAGAAACTGCAGGCAGCAGTAACTGGTGTAGATACAAACTGGTGGAAATATTGACTAGTGTAAGCAGAAACTGCAGGCAGCAGTAACTGGTGTAGATACAAACTGGTGGAAATATTGACTAGTGTAAGCAGAAACTGCTGGTAGCAGTAACTGGTGTAGATACAAACTGGTGGTAATATTGACTGGTGTACGCAGAAACTGCTGGTAGTAGTAACTGGTGTTGATACAAACTGGTGGAAATATTGACTAGTGTAAGCAGAAACTGCAGGCAGCAGTAACTGGTGTAGATACAAACTGGTGGTAATATTGACTGGTGTAAGCAGAAACTGCAGGCAGCAGTAACTGGTGTAGATACAAACTGGTGGTAATATTGACTGGTGTAAGCAGAAACTGCTGGTAGCAGTAACTGGTGTAGATACAATCTGGTGGAAATATTGACTGATGTAAGCAGAAACTGCTGCTAGTAGTGACTGGTGTTATAAATGCAGGTAGTAATACTGACTGGTAGGAGACGGTGCCTGGGTTAGGGAGAAGTGGAGAGTGGACGAATGCGGCTCCCCTAGTACCTCCCTCCCAGATAGTGGACTTGTTACCTCTCAACGGCCAGTTGTTGCCAGAAGTCACTGTGGGGCCACCATTCTGCACCAACACATACTACTTAGTAACACAGCTACATGCATAAATAGCACGCTACGCTTACTATTATTTAACATCAATGAAGTAAATAAATTCTTAATATTATGATAGAGTTTTCGAGGAGTTACAACATAAACTTGGCTGTTTGCCAAAACGATACACCTTGCCAAATAAACCAAGTCAGAAAAATCAGCTTAAAAAGCCAGACAGATAATAATATTTCTTAATCAATGTGATAAATGGTCTATTAAATATTTATTTTTCTTGATGTGTTACGTATTGTTGTTTATCTTAGATCCTTAGAGACAAGATAGAAAATTGCATGCATTATAAAAGGTGCTATTCCCTAACTCAGCAGCGTCACAAACTGTGACTTCATCTTAACTAGCAGAACGTACACCAGACGTAGCAATTATGAAATATTTGCAGTTCACAAACTCAAGTAAGACATAAAACATTTCACAGTTTACAACCTCGGGTAAATCATGAAACCGACTTCTTGACTTTAACATGAGAGCTCAAGTAGATTATAAACAGACTGTTTTGTTGTAGCATAAGAGCTACAGACGCTCATAAAACAGTGGTATAGTGGATGGAATATTATTTTATTAACACACTGGCCGATTCCCACCAAGGCAGGGTGGCCCGAAAAAGCAAAACTTTCACCATCATTCACTCCATCACTGTCTTGCCAGAAGGGTGCTTTACACTACAGTTTTTAAACTGCAACATTAACACCCCTCCTTCAGAGTGCAGGCACTGTACTTCCCATCTCCAGGACTCAAGTCCGGCCTGCCGGTTTCCCTGAACCCCTTCATAAATGTTACTTTGCTCACACTCCAACAGCACGTCAAGTATTAAAAACCATTGTCTCCATTCACTCCTATCAAACACGCTCACGCATGCCTGCTGGAAGTCCAAGCCCCTCACACACAAAACCTCCTTTACCCCCTCTCTCCAACTTTTCCTAGGCCGACCCCTACCCCGCCTTCCTTCCACTACAGACTGATACACTCTTGAAGTCATTCTGTTTCACTCCATTCTCTCTACATGTCTGAACCACCTCAACAACCCTTCCTCAGCCCTCTGGACAACAGTTTTGGTAATCCCGCACCTCCTCCTAACTTCCAAACTACGAATTCTCTGCATTATATTCACACCACACATTGCCCTCAGACATGACATCTCCACTGCCTCCAGCCTTCTCCTCGCTGCAACATTCATCACCCATGCTTCACACCCATACAGGAGCGTTGGTAAAGCTAAACTCTCATACATTCCCCTCTTTGCTTCCAAGGACAAAGTTCTTTGTCTCCACAGACTCCTAAGTGCACCACTCACCCTTTTCCCCTCATCAATTCTATGATTCACCTCATCTTTCATAGACCCATCCGCTGACACGTCCACTTCCAAATATCTGAATACATTCACCTCCTCCATACTCTCTCCCTCCAATCTGATATCCAATCTTTCATCACCTACTCTTTCCTGTATTCACTTTTAATTTTCTTCTTTAGCATACCCTACCAAATTCATCCACCAACCTTTGCAACTTCTCTTCAGAATCTCCCAAGAGCACAGTGTCATCAGCAAAGAGCAACTGTGACAACTCCCACTTTATGTGTGATTCTTTATCTTTTAACTCCACGCCTCTTGCCAAGACCCTCGCATTTACTTCTCTTACAACCCCATCTATAAATATATTAAACAACCACGGTAACACCACACATCCTTGTCTAAGGCCTACTTTTACTGGGAAATAATTTCCCTCTTTCCTACATACTCTAACTTGAGCCTTACTATCCTCGTAAAAACTCTTCACTGCTTTCAGTAACCTACCTCCTATCCATACACCTGCAACATCTGCCACATTGCCCCCTATCCACCCTGTCATACGCCTTTTCCAAATCCATAAATGCCACAAAAACCTCTTTAGCCTTATCTAAATACTGTTCACTTATATGTTTCACTGTAAACAAATGGTCCACGCACCCCCTACCTTTCCTAAAGCCTCCTTGTTCATCTGCTATCCTATTCTCCGTCTTACTCTTAATTCTTTCAATAATAACTCTACCATACACTTTACCAGGTATACTCAACAGACTTATCCCCCTATAATTTTTGCACTCTCTTTTGTCCCCTTTGCATTTATACAAAGGAACTATGCATGCTCTCCGCCAATCCCTAGGTACCTTACCCTCTTCCATACATTTATTAAATAATTGCACCAACCACTCCAAAACTATATCCCCACCTGCTTTTAACATTTCTATCTTTATCCCATCAATCCCAGCTGCCTTACCCCCTTTCATTTTACCTACTGCCTCACGAACTTTCCCCACACTTACAACTGGCTCTTCCTCACTCCTACAGGACTGAAAGTTATTATGTTTGAGTCATACTTGGACTATTAACAAGTGAAACTAAAGCCAGAGGGAAGGAAGCTAGGATATATACGAGAGGCGGGAGTGGGAACAGAGTGCTAGAACGGGAGGAAGGAGTACTAATTATAGTAATAGTAGTAGTAGCGGTTGTAGTAGTGGTGGTGGTAGTAGAAGTAGTAGTAGCAGTAGTGGTAGTTGTGGTAGAAGTAGTGGTGCAGCAGTGATAGAGATAGAAAACAGAAGATAGCAGTAGTAGTAGTGGAAAAGCAGTATAACAAAAATTGAAGAAAGCAACAGTAGGAGTAGTAGTAGTAGTGGTGGTGGTAGTAGTAGTAGTAGTGGTGGTGGTAGTAGTAGTAGTAGTGATAACAGTGGTAGTAGTAGTAGTAGTAGTAGTAGTCGTAGTAACAGTAATAGTGGAAGAAATAAATCAGAACAAATTAACAGAGAGCTAGAGTAAGTTCGACTTACTCTCCTGCTGAAGAAACTCATGAAAAAAAACATCTTGACTTTATCAAGAGAACTCAAGTCAGTCATGAAACAAACTTCTTGACTGAATCATGACGCTCACGCAAGTCATCAAACAATTTTTTAAACCTCACTAAAGAAATAAACTTGCCTGGAAGGCCTGAGCTTGCTACCACCTGCAGCTCACAAGACTGCCATCCCCACGAGCCCCTTTGAGGCGGGGCAGATGGCAGACCAGAGGCCTAGCTTCTCCCTACGAGCCCCGTGAGGGCGGGGAATGTGGCTAGGCCTGGGGACAGTTGGTCCCAAAGATGAGGGGGTACTTGTACCTCCTCCCATGGGAGACTTTAGTCTCGAGACACTCCCCAGATAGGGAGCCAAGGCCGGGTCACCACTACTTGGAAAAGACCCGGGCCGGGAGAATAACGGTGAATAAAAAAAAAAAAAAAAAAAAAAAAAACTTGCCTGAAACATGAGAGTTGTAGTCAGTTATGCAACTGATTTTTTTTCTCTAAAATGAGAGCCCAAGTAGGTCATGAAACAGTCATGAAGGAAAATTAGACGTCTTAACTTCAATGATTATATAAATAAATGGGGCATGTTCATTATTACCCTGCCATGTCCCACATTATTCTCGCATGTCCCACATTATCCTCGTATGTCCCACATCATCCTCGCATGCCTCACATTATCCATGCAAGTTCCACACTACCAGTGCTGACCCAGCATAATCCGACATGTTGCATATTATTTTGACATGGTCCACACTACCCTTCCATATTACACACTGTCCTCTCATGTCCAACACTGGTCTATCACTTCAAACATTATCTCGACACGTCTCAAGCTACCTTGACATGTCCACTGTTATCTTGACATGTTCCACCTTATCCTAGCAAGTCCCAAACTATCCTGTTATGTTCGACATTATCCTACCCTATTTCAACCTATCTGTATGTCCTATAAAATCCTGACATGTCCACCACTATCCTGGCATGTCCACCACTATCCTGGCATGTCCACCACTATCCTGCCATGTCCACCACTATCCTGGCATGTCCACCATTATCCTGGCATGTCCACCATTATCCTGGCATGTCCACCACTATCCTGGCATGTCCACCACTATCCTGGCATGTCCACCATTATCCTGGCATGTCCACCATTATCCTGGCATGTCCACCACTATCCTGGCATTTTCCACCACTATCCTGGCATGTCCACCACTATCCGGCATGTCCACCACTATCCTGGCATGTCCACCATTATCCTGGGATGTCCACCACTATCCTGGCATGCCCCCCACTATCCTGGCATTTCCACCACTATCCTGGCATGTCCACCACTATCCTGGCATGTCCACCACTATCCTGGCATGTCCACCACTATCCTGGCATGTCCACCACTATCCTGGCATGTCCACCACTATCCTGGCATGTCCACCACTATCCTGGCATGTCCCCCACTATCCTGGCAGTCCACCACTATCCTTGCATGTCCAACCACTATCCTGGCATGTCCACCACTATCCTGGCTTGTCCACCACTATCCTGGCTTGTCCACCACTATCCTGGCATGTCCATCACTATCCTGGCTTGTCCACCACTATCCTGGCATGTCCACCACTATACTGGCATGTCCACCACTATCCAGGCATGTCCACCACTATCCTGGCATGTCCACCACTATTCAGGCATGTCCACCACTATCCTGGCATGTCCATCACTATCCTGGCATGTCCACCACTATCCTGGCATGTCCACCACTATCCTGGCATGTCCACCACTATCCTGGCATTTCCACCACTATCCAGGCATGTCCACCACTATCCTGGCATGTCCATCACTATCCTGGCATGTCCACCACTATCCTGGCATGTCCACCACTATCCTGGCATTTCCACCACTATCCTGGCATGTCCACCACTATCCTGGCTTGTCCACCACTATCCTGGCATGTCCACCACTATCCTGGCATGTCCACCACTATCCTGGCATGTCCATCACTATCCTGGCATGTCCACCACTATCCTGGCATGTCCACCACTATCCTGGCATTTCCACCACTATCCTGGCATTTCCACCACTATCCAGGCATGTCCACCACTATCCTGGCATGTCCATCACTATCCTGGCATGTCCACCACTATCCTGGCATGTCCACCCACTATCCCGGCATTTCCCCCACTATCCAGGCATGTTTCCCCCACTATCTGGCATGTCCCATCACTATCCTGGCATGTCCACCACTACCTGGCATGTCACCACCACTATCCTGGCATGTCCATCACTATCCTGGCATGTCCCCCATATCCTGGCATGTCCCCACTATCCTGGGCATTTCCACCACTATCCAGGCATGTCCACCACTATCCTGGCATGTCCATCACTATCCTGGCATGTCCACCACTATCCTGGCATGTCCACCACTATCCTGGCATGTCCACCACTATCCTGGCATGTCCACCATTATCCTGGCATGTCCACCACTATCCTGGCATGTCCACCATTATCCTGGCATGTCCACCACTATCCTGGCATGTCCACCACTATCCTGGCATGTCCACCATTATCCTGGCATGTCCACCACTATCCTGGCATGTCCACCACTATCCTGGCATGTCCTACACTATGTTCATCATCTACAGCTAAAAATCTTACCACACAAACATGGTCATGAAGACCATACTGACGATTAAGCTTCAAGCTTACCACACAGACTTGAACGTTAATATCACACTGACGAGTCACGTACAGTCTTATACAACAGATGTGGTAATCAAGCCAGCTAATAAGCGTATAACTGGGGGAGAATATATTGTTTCTTTTCCATTCCTGCCACCATACCTCAGTCAGTATGTCACTCAAATTTCTCTGAATTATTTACGAAGTTTTGTCTGATATGTAAGACACATGCCCAGCACTTAGGTATCGTCAATGTCTGAAAGCTTCGACAAACGTGTGACGGCGTGATATAGACACTGCACAAGAAAAGGAGAAGAAATTTTGAGGTGAACGATTTGATACAAAGTGATCAGTAGCTTAGCGTGCAGACAGAGACTTAAAAAAACAAGTCTTGCTTGTCTTGTACATTAAGCTATTAAACATGTCTTGATTTCTTTAATATTTCTGCCCATTCTACGACTTATTTCTTGCATACTTTTGTTAACCTTCCAACTTATTTCTTGCATGCTTTCGTTAACCCTCCAACTTATTTCTTGCATGTTTTAGTTAACCCTCCAACTTATTTCTTGCATGCGTTCGTTAACACTCCAACTTATTTCTGGCATGCTTTCGATAACGCTCCAACTTATTTCTTGCATGCATTCGTTAACACTCCAACTTATTTCTTGCATGTTTTCGTTAACCCTCCAACTTATTTCTTGCATGCTTTCGTTAACCCTCCAACTTATTTCTTGCATGCTTTCGTTAACCCTCCAACTTATTTCTTACATGCTTTCGTTAACCCTCCAACTTATTTCTTGCATGCATTCGTTAACCCTCCAACTTATTTCTTGCATGCTTTCGTTAACTCTCCAACTTATTTCTTGCATGCTTTCGTTAACCCTCTAACTTATTTCTTGCATGCTTTCGTTAACACTCCAACTTATTTCTTGCATGCTTTCGTTAACCCTCTAACTTATTTCTTGCATGCTTTCGTTAACTCTCCAACTTATTTCTTGCATGCTTTCGTTAACACTCCAACTTATTTCTTGCATGCTTTCGTTAACCCTCCAACTTATTTCTTGCATGCTTTCGTTAACACTCCAACTTATTTCTTGCATGCTTTCGTTAACTCTCCAACTTATTTCTTGCATGCTTTCGTTAACCCTCCAACTTATTTCTTGCATGCTTTCGTTAACTCTCCAACTTATTTCTTGCATGCTTTCGTTAACACTCCAACTTATTTCTTGCATGCTTTCGTTAACCCTCCAACTTATTTCTTGCATGCTTTCGTTAACACTCCAACTTATTTCTTGCATGCTTTCGTTAACTCTCCAACTTATTTCTTGCATGCTTTCGTTAACCCTCCTGGAGGTTACCTGGAGGTTATTCCGGGGATCAACGCCCCCGCGGCCCGGTCCATGACCAGGCCTCCCGATGGATCAGGGCCTGATCAACTAGGCTGTTACTGCTGGCCGCACGCAGTCCGACGTACCAGCCACAGCCCGGCTGATCCGGCACTGACTTTAGGTATCTGTCCAGCTCTCTCTTGAAGGCAGCCAGGGGTTTATTGGCAATTCCCCTAATGCTTGATGGGAGGCTGTTGAACAGTTTTGGGCCCCGGACACTTATGGTGTTTTCTCTTAGTGTACCAATGGCGCCCCTACTTTTTATTGGCGGCATTTTGCATCGCCTGCCCAGTCTTTTACTCTCGTAGGGAGTGATTTCTGTGTGCAGATTTGGGACCATTCCTTCCAAGATTTTCCAAGTGTAGATTATGATATATCTCTCCCTCCTGCGTTCCAACGAGTACAAGTCAAGTGCTTCCAAGCGTTCCCAGTAGTTAAGGTGCTTGACAGAACTTATACGTGCAGTAAAGGATCTCTGTACACTCTCTAGATCTGCGATTTCACCTGCTTTGTATGGAGATGTTAATGTACAGCAGTATTCCAGCCTAGAGAGAACAAGTGATTTGAAAAGGATCATCATGGGCTTGGCATCTCTCGTTTTGAAAGTTCTCACTATCCATCCTATCATTTTCTTTGCACGTGCGATCGTGGCACTGTTGTGATCCTTGAAAGCGAGATCCTCAGACATTACTACTCCCAGGTCCCTTACATTATTTTTCCGCTCTATTGTATGGCCGGAGTCAGTAGTATACTCTGTTCTAGTTATTATCTCCTCCAGTTTTCCATAACGGAGTAGTTGGAATTTGTCCTCATTGAACATCATATTGTTTACCGTTGCCCACTGGAAAACTTTGTTTATATCTTCTTGGAGGTTAACCGCGTCCTCAGCAGATGACAGCCTCATGCAGATCCTAGTATCATCCGCAAAGGATGATACGGTGCTGTGGTGTATATCTGTTTATGTCTGATATGAGGATAAGGAATAAGATGGGGGCGAGTACTGTGCCTTGTGCTCCAACTTATTTCTTGCATGCTTTCGTTAACACTCCAACTTATTTCTTGCATGCTTTCGTTAACCCTCCAACTTATTTCTTGCATGCTTTCGTTAACACTCCAACTTATTTCTTGCATGCTTTCGTTAACTCTCCAACTTATTTCTTGCATGCTTTCGTTAACCCTCCAACGTATTTCTTGCATGCGTTCGTTAACACTCCAACTTATTTCTTGCATGCTTTCGTTAACACTCCAACTTATTTCTTGCATGCTTTCGTTAACTCTCCAACTTATTTCTTGCATGCTTTCGTTAACCCTCCAACTTATTTCTTGCATGCTTTCGTTAACACTCCAACTTATTTCTTGCATACATTCGTTAACACTCCAACTTATTTCTTGCATGCTTTCGTTAACACTCCAACTTATTTCTAGCAAGCTTCTGCTTATCTTCACACCTATTTTTCTCATACTTCTGTCCATCCCTTAACTTCAACAGTATACCGGGTGCCTCCCGTTTTTTCTTATTTTCTTACTGTTATTATAATCAAGGGGAAGCGCTAAACCCGGATGATTATACAGCGCCTGGGGGGGATGTGGAAGGCATTCAGGCTTAATTCGGGGAACTGGAGCACAGATCCAATTCCCTAAATCAAGAGCCCCTCACCAACAATCTTATTTTATTTATATCTGTTAATTACATGTAAATACGATTAACTTACGATAATATAACCTCGTATAAAATAAGAGTTATTCAAATTTTACCAAAGCTTAGATAGAGCAGAAATCAGCTAACTCTATTGATTTTCTTACATGATAAATGTTGACTCACGAAATCGTAAAACACGATGATGGCTTTGAGGGGACATGAACTAGAGCTCGTCACGGCCACGCTTGAGGGAGATTCAACTGGGACCCATGTTAACCTTCCTATGGTGTATAAATATACCTAGTTGGATGAATCTTATTGTAGCAAGCTGGCCCAGTGGTTTACGCACTGGCCCAGAGATTTGCCAATCACTTGCCATGGGTTCTAACCTCATTCGTACCGTGGTTATGATAAATGATATTTTAAAATGTTATTTACTTGTCTAACACTTCTATATGTCTGTTTATTTTATACATACGTCAGTAGTAAAGACGATGATAGAGTTGTTGTAGTGATGAGTGGATTTGAGCGCCGCCACAACTCTCCCAACAGCCTCGTCCAAGGCGCTTACCATACCTGCAAACACGATAATGATGAACTAGAGACTTGTACAACTTTGGTATCATTATTGTGAAATGTTTTGCCAACCAGTGGTTTCCTCAGTCCAGTACAGACAAGACAGGTTGAAGATCAGATGGAGTTTCAGGTAATCAGTCCATCAGCGTGGAGCTTATGAGATGAGTCCATCAGTTTTGATAAGAGTACAGCATATGCACGGCGAAGGAGGTTATATACTGTAGACAGGTGAGGTGAAGCAGTCGTAGGCGGTGTCACCTTGAACAAACCCGCAGGTGGAGGTAGGTCGTGTCTATAGGTTAGGTAAACGTAGAATTCCCTGGTTGGCGAAACGTTTCCATAATAAATATACCTAAATGTTGCACAGGTGTCTAATTTCCCATCCTGTCGGTTCTGTGAACCATTTATGTACATTCAAAGTGGATAATAAAGCGCATTAGTACCAACATCACCCACCTAAAACAAGAATTATTTGATAGACGTTTGAACTATTAATAATAACATTCCAGTTCTATATGAGTAGTAAAATATCAATATTTATAAAGCACTCATGTGGAGCCTCTTCCTAAACCTCCGTCATTAAACATTTTAATCACAATACTACAAACAAATCGAATATTTCTTTACAAAGTGTGAGTGGTGAATGTTGCACCAAGGAGAAGGCTGAAGGCAGTGGGTGGTGAATGTTGTAACAAGGAGAAGGCTGGAGGCAGTGGGTGGTGAATGTTGTAACAAGGAGAAGGCTGGAGGCAGTGGGTGGTGAATGTTGTAACAAGGAGAAGGCTGAAGGCAGTGGGTGGTGAATGTTGCAACAAGGAGAAGGCTGGAGGCAGTGGGTGGTGAATGTTGTAACAAGGAGAAGGCTGGAGGCAGTGTCATGTCTGAGGGCAATGTGTGCTGTGATAATAATGCAGAGAATCTGTAGTTAGGAGATTAGGAGGAGGTGTGAGATTACCAAAACTATTACCCAGAGGGCTGAGGAAGGGTTGTTGAGGTGGTTGGGTATGTAGAGAGGATGGAACAAGATATAATGACTTCGAGAGTGTACAGATCGGTAGTGTAAGGAAGGCGGGGTAGGGGTCGGCCTGGAAAAGTTGGAAGGCTTGGACTTCCAGTAACCATGCGTGAGCATGTTAGGTAGGAACTAATTGATAAATATAGTTTTTTAGGACTTGACGTGCTGTTGGAGTGTGAGCAAAGTAACATTTATGAAGGGGTTCAGGGAAACCGGCAGGCCGGACTTGAGTCCTGGAGATGGGAAGTGCAGTGTCTACACTCTGAAGGAGGGGTGTTAATGTTGCAGTTTTATAATTGTAGTGTAAGCCTCTGGCAAGACAGTAATGGAGTGAATGATGATGCAGGTGACTGAACGAAGAGTGCAGGAAACTGAAGGAAGAGTGCAGGTGACTGAAGAAGACTTCAGGTGACTGAAGGAAGAGTGCAGGTGACTGAAGGAATAGTGCGAGTGACTGAAGGAAGACTGCAGGTGACTGAAGAAAGACTGCGGTGACTGAAGAAGGCTGCATGTGACTGAAGGAGACTGCCTGGTTACTGCAGAAGACTCATGTCAGGTGAGGAAGGTTGTAGGTGAGTGAAGAAAGACTGCAGTTAGACTGAAGGTAGGCATATGTGACTGAAGGAAGTAGCTGCCGGACTGAAGGAAGGCTGCTTCAGAACTGAAGGAAGACTGCCGGTGACTCAATGACAGACTGAGCGTGCTGAGGAAGACTCAGGTGATGAAGGAAGACTGCAGGGACGAAGGAAGCGCATTGGACTGAAGGAAGATGCGGTGACCTCAAGAAGATGCAGGTGACTAAAGGTAGAGACTGCAGGTAATGAGGAAATGACTGCAGGTGACTGAAGAAGACTGCAGGTGACTGAAGGAAGAGTGCAGGTGACTGAAGGAAGACTGCAGGTGACTGAAGGAAGACTGCAGGTGACTGAAGGAAGACTGCAGGTGTCTGAGGAAGACTGCAGGTGACTGAAGGAAGACTGCAGGTGACTGAAGGAAGGCTGCATGTGACTGAAGGAAGACTGCCGGTGACTCAAGGAAGACTGCAGGTGACTAAAGGAAGACTGCAGGTGACTGAAGGAAGACTGCAGGTGACTGAAGGAAGACTGCAGGTGACTGAAGAAAGACTGCAGGTGACTGAAGGAAGACTGCAGGTGACTGAGGAAGACTGCAGGTGACTGAAGGAAGACTGCAGGTGACTAAAGGAAGACTGCAGGTGACTGAAGGAAGACTGCAGGTGACTGAAGGAAGACTGCAGGTGACTGAAGGAATGACTAGCAGTGACTGAAGAAAGACTGCAGGTGACTAAAGGAAGACTGCAGGTGACTGAAGGAAGACAGCAGGTGACTGAAGGAAGGCTGCATGTGACTGAAGGAAGACTGCAGGTGACTGAAGGAAGGCTGCAGGTGACTGAAGGAAGACTGCAGGTGACTGAAGGAAGACAGCAGATGATTGAAGGAAGACTGCAGGTGACTGAACAAAGACTGCAGGTGACTGAAGGAAGACAGCAGATGACTGAAGGAAGACTGCAGGTGACTGAAGGAAGACAGCAGGTGACTGAAGGAAGACAGCAGGTGACCGAACAAAGACCGCAGGTGACTGAAGGAAAACTGCAGGGGACTGAAGGAAGACTGCAGGTGACTGAAAGAAGACAGCAGATGACTGAAGGAAGACTGCAGGTGACTGCAAGGAAGACAGAGGTGACTGAAGGAAGACAGCAGGTGATCGAACAAAGACCGCAGGTGACTGAAGGAAAACTGCAGGGACTGAAGGAAGAGGTATGAGAGACTGCAGGTGACTGAAGGAAGACTGCAGGTGACTGAACAAAGACTGCAGGTGACTGAACAAAGACAGCAGGTGACTGAACAAAGACAGCAGGTGACTGAACAAAGACTGCAGGTGACTGAACAAAGACAGCAGGTGACTGAACAAAGACTGCAGGTGACTGAACAGAAGACGCAGGTGACTGAACAAAGACTGCAGGTGACTGAAGGAAGACTGCAGGTGACTGAACACAAAGAACTACAGGTGACTGAAGGAAGACTGCAGGTGACTGAACAAAGACTGCAGGTGACTGAAGGAAGACTGCAGTGACGAAAAAGACTGCAGGTGACTGAAGGAAAGACTGCAGGTGACTGAACAAGACCGCAGGTGACTGAACGAAAGACAGCAGTGTACTGAACAAAGAGAGCAGGTGACTGAACAAGACTGCAGGTGACTGAAAAAGACTGCAGTGTGACTGAACAAAGACAGCAGGTGACTGAACAAAGACAGCAGGTGACTGAACAAAGACTGCAGGTGACTGAACAAAGACTGCAGGTGACTGAACAAAGACTGCAGGTGACTGAAGGAAGACAGCAGGTGACTGAACAAAGACTGCAGGTGACTGAAGGAAGACTGCAGGTGACTGAACAAAGACTGCAGGTGACTGAAGGAAGACAGCAGGTGACTGAACAAAGACTGCAGGTGACTGAACAAAGACTGCAGGTGACTGAAGGAAGACGCAGGTGACTGAACAAGAGACTGCAGGTGACTGAAGGAAGACATGCAGGTGACTGAACAAAGACGCAGTGACTGAAGGAAGACTGCAGGTGACGAACAAAGACTGCAGGTGACTGAAGGAAGACAGCAGGTGACTGAACAAAGACTGCAGGTGACTGAACAAAGACAGCAGGTGACTGAACAAAGACTGCAGGTGACTGAAGGAAGACAGCAGGTGACTGAACAAAGACTGCAGGTGACTGAACAAAGACTGCAGGTGACTGAACAAAGACTGCAGGTGACTGAAGGAAGACGCAGGTGAAGACTGAACAAAGACTGCAGGTGACTGAACAAAGACTGCAGGTGACTGAACAAAGACCGCAGGTGACTTAAGACCGCAGGTGACTGAACAAAGACTGCAGGTGACTGAACAAAGACTGCAGGTGACTGAACAAAGACTGCAGGTGACTGAACAAAGACTGCAGGTGACTGAAGGAAGACAGCAGGTGACTGAACAATGACTGCAGGTGACTGAAGGAAGACAGCAGGTGACTGAACAAAGACTGCAGGTGACTGAACAAAGACCGCAGGTGACTTAAGGAAGATAGCAGGTGACTGAACAAACACTGCAGGTGACTGAACAAAGACTGCAGGTGACTAAACAAAGACTGCAGGTAACTTACACAGTAACTTGTACAGTAATTTGTACAGTAACTTGCACAGTAACTTACACAGTAACTTACACAGTAACTTACACAGTAACTTACGCAGTAACTTACACAGTAACTTGCACAGTAACTTACACAGTAACTTACACAGTAACTTACACAGTAACTTGCACAGTAACTTACACAGTAACTTACACAGTAATTTACACAGTAACTTACACAGTAACTTACACAGTAACTTACACAGTAACTTACACAGTAACTTACACAGTAACTTACACAGTAACTTACACAGTAACTTTACACAGTAACTTACACAGTAACTTACACAGTAACTTACACAGTAACTTACACAGTAACTTCACAGTAACTTTCACAGTAACTTACACTAACTTTCACAGTAACTTACACAGTAACTTTCACAGTAACTTACACAGTAACTTACACAGTAACTTACACAGTCTTACACAGAACTTTCACAGTAACTTACACAGTAACTTGCACAGTAACTTGCACAGTAACTTACACAGTAACTTACACAGTAACTTACACAGTAATCACAGTACTACACAGTAACTTGCACAGTAACTTGCACAGTAACTTACACAGTAACTTACACAGTAACTTACACAGTAACTTGCACAGTAACTTACACAGTAACTTACACAGTAACTTACACAGTAACTTGCACAGTAACTTACACAGTAACTTACACAGTAACTTACACAGTAACTTACACAGTAACTTACACAGTAACTTGCACAGTAACTTACACAGTAACTTACACAGTAACTTACACAGTAACTTGTCCCTCTAAGTAACGTTTTCCTATATTTTAC